ATGCCTGCGGGGCGCGCTTCACACTTTCCCCAGACGACCCCACGACACAATCTTACCAAAAAATCTTATAAATGTTAATATTGCAGACTTTGAGAGGCAGTCGAAAAATAGGGAATTATGAATAGCTATCCAAGATAATCGTAACGTAATCGATTCGCAAATAACTCCGGCCAGGATTATGGGTGCATTACTTGTTAATGGCGGCCGAAAGAAGAAATAATGCCAATTTTCCTGAGATTTCCTTGTTTCCATTATTTATTTCGGACAGTGTTTGACCATATTAGTGGGGCTCAGTATGTGCAACCTCAAAAATGGTTATCTTCCCAATACAAGCGGACATGCGAGTCTCAGGAAGTAATTGAGAAGAAGACGACTTAATCGCTGGGGCAATACTTTTATTCGCAGTAGCAGGTAGGGTAACGTATGCATAAGAGTTTGCAGTATTTATAGAATACAGTCATTACTGCAAGCATACAGCGACAATTAACCATAATTGCCTTCTTGAGTTTTTGTGGTCTGTTGAATGACATGCGGGCTCTGACCTACTGACCTTTCATCACGCGTGGTGGATTCGGGCGTGATGATTGTTCGGTCATCTTGCTTTCCGATACTGGCGTAGGATGACGCGGTGGCCTATCCGTTCCCCAAGCGTCGACTTGCTTTGGCGACTTGCTGAAACCCAATTTGGCCAAAGCAAGTCGCCACTTGGGGAACGGACAGGCCACCGGGTCATCCTACGCCAGTACCGGAAGGCCAGATGGCCGAGCAATCATCACATTCGAGTCCACCACGTGTGATGAAAGGTCAGTAGGTCAAAGCCCGCATGCCGTTCGACAAACTATCAACACGCAAGAAGGCAATTAGCGTTGATTATTGTTGTATATTCGCAGTAATGACTGTATCCTATAAATATTGCAAACTCCTATATATACGCTACCCGTCTCTGCTACTGCTCTATAATTATTTCTCTGATGACGAATCTGCGACGGATATCGAAACGTCAGGCGAATAAAAGTATTGCCCCAGCGATCGAGTCGTCTTCTTCAAAAAATGGTTATCTTCGTTGCCGTTTTTAAATGGCTACAGTTTGTATTACAGTACCTTATTGTGTTCCTGATTATTCTAGACTGCTTAACGGGGGAGAGGGGGCGCCTCCCAGGTGGCAGTAGGTGGCTCAATTTGTCGTGCGAAGGCGGTAAATACTTACACATTGCCCCTTGAGCGGCGCCCAACTGCCATCTGTGGCCCTCCTAGCGGTCACAACCCAAAAACAGCCCCGACCAGTGGACTAAACCAGGTGAAGTTATCCAGTCTTGTCCCCCACACCTCCTCCTTCACACCCCCAGCTATCAAACTTTCAGCGTAGAGGGCGAACTAAAACCACGTAGGCAGCCCAGCATAATTAGGTTCGTTCTCACAATAAAGATAAAACCACGACCCATAGTGGCAGCCGTCGGAGATGCCTAAGCGACCCTATTTGGGCACAATGCTGCTTGCCTTGTCGAGGATGTAGGGCAGAGGTCGGGAAAGTATAGCTCGCGAGCCAGTTGTGGCTCTTTTGATGATGGTATCTGGTTCTCTCTCTTAGAATTATTGGCCGCGTATGAGTATTACTGTAATAACCTTGTTTGGATCTATGTATGCATGTGAAGAGTCATACATCAAGTCCATCCTATGATCAGGTCTAACAGATGAAGGCCTCAAAGTTTGCATTAAGCTTAACCTCACCAACTACCGACCAGACTAGAAAGCCATCAAGAAATCCATGCAGCACCAGAAGTCGCATTAAAGGTAAGTATTATAACAAAGTTATTTAAAATAATAAATCCAGAGGCATATTAAATCCAATCTTAAAATATATTATATGGCTCCCACAGAAATATATTTCCAAATATTTGCTTTGCTGGCTCTCTGAGTCAAAAAGGTTCCTGACCTCTGATGTGGAGGCTAGAATTCCTTTCTGCATGCCTCCTTTTGACTGCACTTCGTTTTAGCCTCCTTAAAAAACCGTAACCTGTACAGAATGCGTACTTCTGTAGTATGAATGTTATTCATGGATCTTCGCCGTCCTTGTAAATTGAAATATGTTTTATTAAGGGCAAGAGCAAAAATATTCTTTCTTTCACACATTTTATAACTAAATTTATACTCGAAGTGGCACTTCGCAGCACTGGACAAAGACGTGTTTGGAAACTAAAGGTTGCTTGAACTGTAAAAGCCGAATTTGGAATGAGTAGACCTCAAAAAGTAACGAACCCCCAGGCTTGAAAGTGCCAAATCAGTGGAAAGGAGAGTGACGGAGGCATTGTCTCCCTTGGCCTCATGTCGGCGCCGTTTTCTAGCTAGATGTCGCTGTTTAGCAGCCTCATACACCTGTTTGTCATCCATTTCTTCTCCATTGGTCTTAACAAAACTGTCCTCAGTATCCATACTTTCTAATTCGTCCGAGTTTGTCATGCAGTCAACCACATCGAACGCAGGGCTATCAACAGTTTCTGGTTTCGCAGGCTCGGGTGGTTGGAGTAACTTGGAGAAGTTGATTCCTCGACTAATTAGGTCATCGAAGGTTCCTGTTGCCGTTACCCCTCCCTAGGGGTGGAAAATCCAAGCAAAAAATTTGAAATACTTAGAAGTTAGGAGAAAAAC